TACACACACTATATACCATGGATTTAACGCACACACGCATGCATACTATTTATTGTCAAACTTTTGAGAATAGATTAAATATTGTTTGTCTTTATTAATATTTTTTATAGGGTAGCCTTGGCGAAATTTGTGATTATAGAAGTATAAAATACAATCATAATACAAACTTACAATTCCAATTATAGTCGAATTTCGACTACTGCGGGACCTCTAGTTATACTAATTCTATAATCACAAATTTCGCCAAGAATACACTATAGAAAAATATTAATAAAGACAAACAATATTTAATCTATTCTCAATTTGACCACAGACGTCAAGAACAAAATTTTGACAATAAATAAATAGTATGCATGCGTGTGTGCGTCAAATACATGGTGTGTGTGTAATGTTTTTTATTGATTTAATGTATTTTTAAGTATAATTCTAAAAAATATTAACATTCTGCACTCCTTCTCTATATTCTAAAAAGGGATACAACGTTTTTCCTTCACGTATTAATATATAGATACTAGCTGACCCGGCTGACTTCGTAGTACCTCAATCGATAAATAAAAGACCTAAGCTTTTGTATAAAATAAACTTAAAACAAAGAAAAGAAATCCGTCCGACGGGTGACACATCAAAGGAAAAACAAAATTGTTATTTTTATTTAATTCCGGGCATTTTCATATTTATCTACCTTTTAAATCTTCTCTGGACTTCCACAAATAATTCAAGACCATAACTAGCCATTCGGTCCAGCCGTTCTCGAGTTTTAGCGAGACTAACGAACAGCAATTCATTTTTATATATTATAGATGTATTTAGATAGCAAATATTTAGGTAGCAAACAATGAAGTTCGTCATTATACGTTGTTCATATAGCTGGACGACATTCAAATAATCTAAAGGCGAAACGATACCTTATTGAACATTGAAGAGATATTTCCATCATTAGAAGCGGAGTACCGTAACAAATTGTCCTCGATTGGGCAGAGGGCATTCTCGTCTCGGATCCTCTGTGATTCTTTCATGCGGAAGACTCCGATAACTGCACGGACTCGAGTAATACCGATGCAGTTAAGTGGGTATATGTATCAAACAGAATCGTTTTTGATGACTGATTTTTGGAACGAAGTTCCTTATGGGACGATGCGGAGGGGTACCCTAACCGGGAAAAAACGTCCGTAACGTAAGATTTTTATTATTTATGTATAATGGCTGTACAGTGTCTAATGTCTACGTGATGACGGTTATTATTATTCATATACATAGCTGTTTCTTTGTATATTATTTTTAAATATTTCTTATAAATCATTGTGAATAAAATAAAGTTTGTAAAGTATTTTTATTTATTTTTATCAATAAAAAATCATAATAAAAAATGTATACCCGAATAATTATTTTCTTTATACCTCGAATAGAACTTAAAATTATTATTTTTATAATATGGAACTTCGTTCCTATCCGGTGTCCCACGACACCACACATCTTTTTTTTTCTACTGTTGCTACGAGTTTTAGGTTGTGGATTTACCGGAGCCCAAGACAACGCGCGTTGCTTTTATGTGCTCACAGAAACACTCATAGCTGGAAATCAGTAGGCTGTGTACACGTTGTCAATCTTTATTTTTTAATCCACGCCTTTGAAAATATTTTAGTAAAGATATTTCTGTTTTAAATATATATTTTTGTTTTAAATTTCACACGGAACGGCACGAAACTGATGATTAAACGTCCCTTTCCTTTTTTTTATTTTAAATAAACGTTTAAAATGATGGAACCTTTTCATGAAATTGGCTTTTATGTTTTGTACAAAACCGCTTAAATTGGTTTTTGGGCCAGCGAATTTACAAAGAGGCCCTGTGGAAGACTTTGACAGGCCCTTTGTGAGTGCCCGTTTCATACTTTGTGATTTATTGAACAATAAAACAATACAATTACGATATTTATATGGTTTTATTAAGCTCGGTGTGATATAAAGGAAGTACGGGGCTTTGTTTGGAATTAAGTATTATAATTAATTATCCTCGTGACCTAGACGCTTCATACATTAGCGCCATAATTGAGGAGTTTAATATCCGATTCTTTTTTTTTCCTACCTAAGCTTGCTTGCTACCTAAGCCTTGAGAGGCTATTTTAGCGTAACCTTAACTAGTAGATGAGCTAACGGGGCTCAAACTGGAGTGTAGCTAACACTAACCCTAGCAAGAGCAGTGCTTCGCAGAATCTACCACCGGATCGGAAACGCGACCCACTGAGAAGATCCGGCGGGAAACTCGGTGGGCTGTGTCTATGGGTTAGTTCGCTCGTCGAGCCCTTCGTCGCAAGCGACGGGTTCGACTAGGACGGTGACCGGTGCTTGTGGTACCTAAAAGCACTGTTAATGGATCGGTAATCCGATCCAAGCGACGGGACAACGCAAAGCAGCCGTCGCCTGAAACCTGTCTTGTCGGAACCACGGAATAGACGTGATCGGAACCCATGGATTAACTCTCCGTGCTGTTTTGCTCTTCAACCACCAGTCACTGTTCTCGTCGAACTCGCCGATTACGACAACGAGCGAACTAACCCATAGACACAGCTCACGAAGTTTCTCGCCGGATCTTCTCAGTAAGTCGCGTTACAGATTGTAGATTCTGCGAACCACTGCTCTTGCTACGGCTAGTGTTAACAAATTCGTCAGGTTAGAGCCCCGTGATCTCACCTATTCGCCCGGTGAACTTAATATAGCCCCTAGAGGTTACTAGAATAGGTAGGGAAAAAAGACCGCCTAACACCACTGCGCTCCTGTGCAAGGCACCTTGCACCTTGCACCATGAATAAACCGCTTCTGCCTGTTGGAATCATTATCTGTTTGCATCGCTGACAGAGCCCCAATTTTCAAAAAAGAAGTGTTTATCTATGTGAATGTAGAAAAAGTATTTTCAACGATATATTACATTATATATATTACATTATTATATAATACTGTCTTATTTGTAGTTAATAGCTTCGCTACGAAATTTCTATAGTAACTCGATCAGTGATTTCCTACAAATCGGAAGTAACTTTTATGAAAGACTCCAATGCGTATTTTTACAAATCACTAAGATGGAACAGCGATGTCTGGTGAAACGCACCACCACCCGAAATGATGACCACGAGCACTCTGCCAAGAGTGCAAACAACTGAAGACTTTTGGAACGAAGTTCCTTATAGGACGATGCGGAGGGGGTACCCTAACCAGAAAAAAAACGTCCGTACCGTAAGATTTTTATTAGTAATGCACACAGTGTACAACTTAACTATGTATTAACGTACAAATTAGTAATGCACCAGTGTACGACTTAACTTTGTAATAACGTACAAAAAATAACATATTTTTTTATCATTCATTGACCACGATCTCAGAGCGTTCGTTTACGCAATACACTAACTCTTATGCAAACAACCGTGAATGAAGTGTACCACAAGAAGTTCGCACGTTACCAAATGACCGTGGGTTGTTGCGAAACCTCCATTTTTATTTTCTTTATATCTCGAATAGAACTTAAAATTAATATTTTTATAATAAGGAACTTCGTTCCTATCCGGTGTGTCCCACGACACTAACATCTTTTTTTTTAAATCTTTCAGCATTCATCAATTGCCTGATTTCAAGGCCGCACCAAATCATTGAGATTCTGATCTTCTTGAGATAGTAGATGTGGCTCATTAGATGAGGAAGATTCTTGAAAATCGGGATCTAAAGTGATGTTTTCGATTCCATCTGGCGCAGCGGACAGATCGAAGCTTCGAAGTGGTTCTGGCATAGGTAATTAATTATTCACTATGATGGATTGGTCTTGTAGCAGATGGCAAGTGAGGATACCTCATTTTACTTTTTGTATTAATTATAATGACTTTTGTGTAATGTAAGACAAAAATAACAATCAGATGAGCGGTTCATTCTGTTCAAATCATATGAATTTCAAAAAGAATAGATCGAAATTTTCTCGCCCGTCTAGTAAACACGACAGAAGTGCCCACGCTTTGTCGTATTTTTCAATGGTAAAGCCAAGATACTATTCATATTATTAGTTGAATATTAATGGTGTGAAATTTCTTCGTTGAGTTTTAAAAGTAAGATTGCTACAAAAGTGGCAAAACTTGTTGATTGATATTGCTTATAAACCACTAAGCTTGAAAAAAAAATACTACAATCTTCAAAAAATAATACAATGTTCAGGTGAAAGTAGGTAGGTAAGTCAAAATTAGTAAGCATTTCTACATGTTACATTATAGTATGTCACAATATTTTGTCGACCAGTGTTATTACTTATTAAACTTACAAAGTAAAAATACTTTATGATCTATTAGTTCTTAATTTACATTTATGAAAAAAATTTAGGCTTCGTTTTAAACGTTACATTTAGGTCCAAGTATTAACTAAATATCTGTACTAAGTTGACTCCCATTGTGTTTCTGATTCAAATTGTATTGAAAATGTTCCTAGTTAAAACTCCTAGTAAAAAAAGGATTTACATTTTTATTATAATCACACTCTGATTATTTTATTTAAATTAAACATTGACATCGTTTATTATTTTAGCTTTGCACAACATAACATGCAGACGATGAAAATTATATTACATTGTTGTTTTTCTTAGCAAACATTTATATACTTTCATGGGTACCAATGTGTTATTTACACCATTTTTAGTCGATTAAAATATTATTAATTTGCTAGAAAAATATTTTATACACACTGATTTGGTAACTAATGAGAAAATCTAGAATATTATGAGATAACCCCTTTTGCTTAATTTGTCAAAATGACATAAACTCGCCTTCTTCATGTTCCAGTCACTGCAATAAAACATGATTAAAACAGATCTGTACATCTCGCCGTGACAGTTGAAGTTCTCGAGCAAAGTATAGCTGAAACTCATTAGAAAAACAGAGATGGCAAATAAATCAATGTCAAAATACCCGTTCACAACTTCACACCGATAATCATTGTTCTGGAATGTTATTCAAAATAAAGTGACAGAAAAACCAAAAAACAAAAATTCGTTTTTTTTGTCATAACATAGTTATATTAAAATTAATGAAAAAGTATCGTCATGGCATCTACATCCAATGATAACGTGCCTCAACATATTATTATGAATGCTCCAGAAAATGCTTCTGATGAACTTGAACCGGGTGCATGTCATGATAGCATACTAAACCCCACTGATTCTTTTGAAGAGTTTGCATCGGAGATGAGTTCCAGCCTAAGAGAGACCTGCTTGACTACTAAAAGCAGTACTATAAGTGAAATACAAAGTGAAATCTTGGAAACTGCTGAAGACCCTAAACTGAAAGCAGCGAAATCAAGTGATGATTTACAAACAAAAGATGTAAGTTTTATAGATACAGTAGCTAATTATGTAAGTTGCTAAACTTAATTAAGACTGTCAGCCATGTCTTTACATCACTACCAGTACATAATCATCAATTAAATATGTTATGAAATTTATTAGTATTTAAAAAAGAATAATATTTTCTATAAATATTTCACCCTCGAATTGTTAGCAAAACATTAGTTTTATTATCACTATTAACTAACATCAACACATGTTTTTAAAACCAAACAACATAAATCTTATTAGTTACATATTTAGAATGCCTAAATAAAAGTATCATAATACGAGGAATTTTGTCAGTTTGGGTCAACATTTTTCTTGGCCTGCTAGAGGCTCTCATTCAGAAAGGTATAAACTAATATTCACAAATTCTTACAGGGATCAATGTCAGCTTCAGCCAGCAATTCGAACTTAATTGAGGAGAATGGAGATGATACAGATGATGATCAAGACTATCTACAGTCACCAGAACTTGTTAATAAAGAGAAACATGTGTTCATACTTAGCACTGCAGGAAAACCTATTTATTCAAGGTAAGAGATATTCTTTGAGGGTAGAGCTTATAGCCCATCTGTTGCTAAATAGTGATTGGGGTCCATTAACCTCACAATATGAATACCGTCATGTGCCTGAGATGTGAAGTCAGAATCACAGTTATAAGTCTGTCCTGCCCTTCAAATTCGAATGCACTAGTGATTTGTGGCAGCTTAAGTTTGAATGTGAGAACTCACTGATATAAGCTCTGTATGTGGTATGTAATTGTAATCTAATAATATCAGTGAAGATTTTTTTTCCCCATTTAAACCACAAACCATTGTTTTTTTTTTAGTTTGAGTTTAATCTAATGTGTTACTGTTATTCCACTGTTGGATAATATTTCAAAATTTTTCTAACAAAGTTTGATTTTAGATATGGCAACGAAGACAAGTTAGCTGGCCTGTGTGGTGTTATCCAAGCTCTTGTCAGCGTAATAGAAGAACAGAACCAGGATATATTGAGGTTCATCAACACGAAAGATTGTAAAGCAGTATTCCTTGTTAAGGGACCCCTAATACTGGTTGCTGTTTCGAAATCCAATGAAAGTGAAACCCAATTAGTTTTGCAGTTGACGTAAGTGAAAATTAAAGTTTATCTTCAAGATAAATAAAAATTTTTATAAAATATATTTTTATCACAGTGTACGGGGCTAATAATCCCTCTGATAAATATCACCAGCTGGTGGACAGTTATATTTTTAATAAATGCCAGTTTTGAGAGACAGTTCAGCCTTCAAACTAGAAAACATGAATAGAAATGCAACCTGTAACTTATTGAATGTCAAAAAAAATAGACAAATCATGTCAGATATCATTAGGGCAGATCAAAGGATCACTTGAAATATATATTTGAAAGAATTTTTTTTTTTTTTATTCTTTCTAGATATGCATTCAATCAAATTGTTTCGCTGTTAACACTAACCCAACTGAATAGAATATTTGAGCAGAGAAGGAACTATGATCTGAGAAGGCTACTGGCCGGAGCTGAAAGATTGATTGATCATTTGCTTGTGTTTATGGAGAAGGATCCTGCCTTTTTACTAGGTAATACAGTAAATTGTAATTATTAGTCGGTTACTGTTACACAATCCCTAGGGTTTTGGAAATGGATGGGAGGTATGCAATGTAAAATAAAAAGAAACTGTGTATAATCTCACATGATTATCTTCTCCTTCCAGATGCTTGTTTTGTGTATTAGTTTTAGGTGTGTTGCAAGGTGGTAATCACGCTCGTCCCGTCGCTTGCGACGAACGGCTCGACGAGCGAACTAACCCATAGACACAGCCCACTGAGTTTCTCGCCGGATCTTCTCAGTGGGTCGCGTTTCCGATCCGGTGGTAGATTCTGCGAAGCACTGCTCTTGCTAGGGTCAGTGTTAGCAACTCTCCGGTTGAGCCCCGCGAGCTCACCTACAAACGTTAGGGCGAAGCTGAAATAGCCTCTCAAGGCTATCAGCNCGAACTAACCCATAGACACAGCCCACTGAGTTTCTCGCCGGATCTTCTCAGTGGGTCGCGTTTCCGATCCGGTGGTAGATTCTGCGAAGCACTGCTCTTGCTAGGGTCAGTGTTAGCAACTCTCCGGTTGAGCCCCGCGAGCTCACCTACAAACGTTAGGGCGAAGCTGAAATAGCCTCTCAAGGCTATCAGCATAGGTAGGAGAAAAAAAAAAAAAAAAAAGGTGGTACAAGTTGGCCCTGCTTTGCTTCTTTCCACAAGCAGCAATCATACACTCTATTATAATGAACAATTTAATGTTGTCTCCAGTTATTCATTCACGATTTTTATCGAATTATTCTAGTGAATTAAGAAAAGTACTTAATTTTTCACAGGTGCAGTCCGATGCCTTCCTTTACCAGAAAAAGCCAGAGAGAATATCACTAATGCAATAACAACTACATGCCACAAGATTCGTGATCTCGTTTTCGCTATAATGATAGCTGGGAATCAACTGATAACATTAGTGAGAATGAAAAAATACACCCTGCACCCTTCGGATATACATTTGCTTTTCAATTTAATAAGGAGTTCGGAGTCATTCAAAACGGCCGAGAGCTGGACGCCAATATGCCTTCCCAAGTTTGATGCAACGTGAGTTTGTGTTTTATATGAATAACTTAAATATATTATCTATATATTAATACGTGAAGCAAAAACTTTGTATCCCTTTTTACGACGCGGGGACGGAGGAGTATGAAATTTTCCAAACTTACAGAGAATAGAGAAGAAGTGCACAATGCTAATATTTTTTTAAAATAATGCATAAAAGATACATTAAATCAATAAAGAAAACATTACACACACTACATACCGTGTATTTGACGCACACACGTATCCATACTATTTATTGTCAAACTTTTGTTCTTGACGTCTGTTGTCAAATTGAGAATAGATTAAATATTGTTTGTCTTTGTTAATACTTTTTTAGTGTAGTCTTGGCGAAATTTGTGATTATAGAAGTATAAAATACAATCATAATAGTGTACAAACTTACAATTCCAATTAATTATAGTCGAATTTCGACTACTGCGGGACTTCTAGTATAAAATATTATATGTTGGATACTAGGCATAGCCTGTATCGTAAGTTCCTCATGATACAGGCTATGCCTAGTGTGAAGATCATTGGTTAATATTATATTGTTGATACCATCTGCCTAATCTCTCAATTCGTTAAATATGTAAATAGTATTCTAGGTCATGATTTAAGAGTTTATGTAGTAAATAAATAAATTATTATTATTATTATTTCATGTTAGCGAACAAGAAACAAAAAAAGTACTTAAAAGATAAAACAGTCAATGAAGTCATATCCTCCTACATAATTCTTCTGAAAAGTAGTCATGCATTCCGGTTCTAATAAGCTCTTATACAATAAAATTTATTTCGACCTTATGTCCCNGGTCATGATTTAAGAGTTTATGTAGTAAATAAATAAATTATTATTATTATTATTTCATGTTAGCGAACAAGAAACAAAAAAAGTACTTAAAAGATAAAACAGTCAATGAAGTCATATCCTCCTACATAATTCTTCTGAAAAGTAGTCATGCATTCCGGTTCTAATAAGCTCTTATACAATAAAATTTATTTCGACCTTATGTCCCAGGTGAGTAGTGGTATGAGTATTTAACGGTAGGCAGCGGCTTGGCTCTGCCCCTGGCATTGCTGAAGTCCATGGGCGACGGTAACCACTCACCATCAGGTGGGTTTTATTTCCTCTGTAGGCAGACGAGTATACGCGTCTGCCTACAGAGGAAATAAAAAAAAAAAAGAAAAAAAATGAGCATTTTAATGTCCATACTCAAGTCATCAATAAACAGCCTAGCCTGGTGACGCTGACATGATCTCTCTAGACCATCAGCTTAGGTAGGAAAAAAAATGAACAGATGGGTAATTTCTGCAATAAAAAATAACGTCAGAGCGTTGACTCTGTATTCCTAACTATGTTTCATTGCATGCATATGAGTTCCATTGTGATTTTTTTTCCTTCCATTTAAGTGTTGTAAAATTTCAGGGGCTTCCTGCACGGCCACGTGTCTTACATATCAGAGGACTGCCAGGCCTGTCTACTTCTACTGACCGTACAAAGGGATGCATTTACAACTTTATCCCAAGCCAAACATACAATAGCCGAGAAAATGAGACGGGCAAACTGTTTAGTTGCCATTAACAATGCTTTAAACCGTAACGAAGAATTGTCCACAACGAAACCCCTCAAGCACATCGGCATACCGGAAATAAGGCATTTCATGTATAAATGTAAATCAACAGCGCAGTTGTTCTCGTCGGATCCGATTAGTTTAGATCGATTACAAGATTATCGATTAAGGCACAAAGAAGGGGGCGATATAGTCGATAAGAAAATAACAAAGTTGTCGGATATCGATTACGTTAGAAACTATCGGAAGTTTTGTAATCAGATACATTGTGTCGCGACGCCTGCTAAGCTTATATTCAGATCGAGTTCACAAGACACAATATTGTCTTGGGTAAGTCTTCTTATTTTTATTTTATATATGGACTAGCGACCCGCCCTCGCTTCGCTTCGGAAACATTAAAACACACATGAAACTAAAAAAAAAAAATAAAAAAAAAAAATAAAAAAAATAGCCTATGTTCATCAGGGACAATGTCGGCTTCTAATGGAAAAAGAATTTTTCAAATCGGTCCAGTAGTTTCGGAGCCTATTCGAAACAAACAAACAAACAAATCTTTCCTCTTTATAATATTAGTATAGATATAGATAGACCGTCGCTGATGGCCATATAATGTTCAAATGGAATATAATTTTAATACCAATGTAGTAGCTGTACCCGTGACGTCACAGGTAGACTTGACGTGAACATAAAAATGCATTTTCATTAATGACATAACCAGAGCGTGATTGATAAAACTAATAACGCCATCTATCGAGCACTATTGCAAACGCGTTTAATGCTAATTGCAGGCGAGATTCTCTGTCTACAATGAGAAACTAAAAAACATAGATCGAAATTTAATCAGTAGTTTTTGCGTGACGCACAACACAAAACCTCAACTTCTATCATTTTATTTCAACAAAAGTATTTGTAATATTCTAATTACTATATTGTCATTAATGATTTTAACTATCGGAAATAAAATAGAAACTCGATTAATGTTAATTGTTAACGATTAAATTTAAAAGTTACCGATAATTATTAAAAAAGAACTCGCGCCATAGTTCGCCACACACTCGCGCGCGTGAAACTTCTTTGATCTTACGATGAGGTAGCGGCAAAACCTCAAAGTGCCTTCACTCTCTTTATTTAAAACTAGCTGACCCGGCAGACTTCGTAGTGCCTCAATCGATAAATAAAAGATCTAAACTTTTATAAAATAAACTTAAAGCAAACAAAAGGAATCCGTCCGACGGTGGACACATCAATGGAAAAACAATATTCTAATTTTTTTTTTATTGTTTAAACCTTCTCTGGACTTTCACAAATAATTCAAGATCAAAATTAGCCAAATCGGTCCAGCCGTTCTCGAGTTTTAGCGAGACTAACGAACAGCAATTCATTTTTATATATATAGATTACATTTACAAGTTTACTTTTTAAAAAAATATATGTAAATTATTATTATTATGTAAATTTCTAATTTTCAGGTGACAAACGGTTTCGAATTGTACGTGACGTTCGATCCGCTTATGGAGAAGGATCACGCGATCAAGGCCGTCGACCGACTCCTCAGGTGGATAAAGAAAGAAGAGGAGAGGATATTCATAATGAACGCTCCGACCTTCTAGCCGAAGTCTTTCTTCAGCGGCATCCTGAGGTCCGGCAGCAGAAACTCCAGCACCGAGGACTCTTTGGCCACTGAGGACGTGTTATAAATAAATTATCGCATACCCGCAAGACACATAGGTATTTAAAAAAAAATGATTCAATCTCACGTTTCTTAGGACTCTGCGTATTGTGAGGTTTATTGGGGAGATGAAGGAGGAGATGTGTGCGTTGGTTGATTGTTGCGTGTTGTCCTCCGTAAACCTCATCGGAGCGGTCAATAAAATTACTACGTATAATTTCATGTTTATTCGCGTCAGCGACCGCGGTGGAACCACTGACTGACTAACGTATGTTGCTTATTACTATAACTGCATAGTAAACAGCTAAGCGGGGCGGAGAATCATTCCCCTGTAGTATCATTAACAGATATACAGCTCGATAGATTTCTTAGTTTGAAAATATCTTCGGTAACGTTGTCTCTGTCAGTCGCTGTTGTGGAAGAGAGACATCATGATATTGTTATCCCTTTTCAGAGACGTACTTGTGTGGGAGAGAGACATCGCGATATCGTTGCCTCTTTTTAGAGATGTATCCAACTTATCGTGTTGCAGTTTATTCAGATGACTTTTAAATCGACTATATTATGTCAAATGTGGTCACTCATTTAATACCGCGAAATTGGATCCGAAATTACTGATGTTACTTAAAGTTATACAATACGAACAAATCTAGACACATTATATACTATATTTATATGTTGATAACAATGAATTAATGAATTCGATGGTGTCTACGTATAAGATTGAAAATTAAATATATTATATAATATGTTTGACGATTTTAAATGCTACTTATTAAAATCCATAGGACACATAGAGCAGGTAACTTTAATTATATCATTATTTTTAGTTATGTAACCCTTACGTATTATTACTTGTATCCGTTTTTATACACATCCACAATAGGGGTGTGGATACGGCTGTCAACGGTTTACAAATAACAAGTCTGTGTGGATTGAAATATTATTTTATATCATCAGTGTGCTTAGTGCGAGTTTTTTAACGTTCTCGATAGCGTAAAAGTTAACTCAAATTTGTATGCAATTGGGACAGCGCCCCTAGCGGCAAACGTAGGCAAACGTTAGAACTCCATACAAATTTGAGTTAACTTTTATCCTATAGAGAACGTTAAAAACCTAAGCACACAGATTAATTTTGTTTGGCTAGAAAAATATATATATATTTATTTCTCTCATTGTAAAATTTATCTGATAGCCTTCAAGCTCGAAGTGTGGATATCTTATGCATATTAAAAAAATGTCGTACATATTCCCTTTAAAATAATTTTTACATAAAAGACATACATAATTAAATTAATAGAATAATCACCCTTCCCAAGATAAACTAAGAAAAAAGGTAATTTGCAATTATTTTATTTCCACTTAGTTGTTAAGCTACAAAAAAAAAATCATTATTTGTGTAGCTGCACTATTTGTTGGTACCAAAAAAAAAAATACACTGAAAATTCGATGCCCTTAAAGATTCATGCCTTAAATAAGTACAAAATGCTCTTTACATGTTAGTCTTAAAGATGTTAACATTAGTTATTTAGTGATGTAGAAAAAATATGGAGACCAAAATTTTAGATTCGTAAATGAATGATTTATCCTATCAGGTCATCCCCGGCAGTCATGCTCCAAAATAGAAAGTTTCACGGCAATTATGAATTACCCTCAAAAACAAATTAATACACTTTTTTGATATTACCTATATTCATCGGGTTTTGCTGTATCACTCACTGGTTTTGCACTCGATTTGTAATAGATGCTACAAACTAAATTCATAAAATTTGTATCCCTCAATCATTTTTCACATATTATTAAATTATATTCATGCAAACGTTAATAAATAATATTGTAAATAAAAAAAACAAATATAACAATAAACATATGCTCATCATTATGAAATGTTAAAGTTTATTTATTTAATTAATTAATAGCGTATAATCATGTAATGACTGTCTGTTTGTTTTAGATAAAGTTAATTATTTCTATATTACCTATGTATTAATTAAGAGTTGTATATAATAATCGAATCTAACTTTACAAATTGTTATATACAGGGTTTTTATGTCGAAGTATCGTATTAAATAGAAACTGAACTCAATATATTCGTTTGCAGAGGCAAGTATAAATTCAGCCATTATTATTTTATATTTATTATCTTTTAAATAAATCAAGATGCAAGGTAGCTTAATAACCTAAAAGTACATATTATTATCCACAGCACGCTTCGTCAGATTATAATTTTTATTAATTCGCCATTTTTATTTATTAACTCCTGTGATGTACATTGAAGCAGTTCCCTCAACACTATGACTGAATAGACAAACCCGCGGTTTGATTAAACGAATATATTCTTTCACATGTTACCAGCGATATTACCAGTTCCTTCGTTTTTTACTCGTGGTAGGACCTCTTGTGAGTCCGCACGGGTAGGTACCACCGCCCTGCCTATTTCTGCCGTGAAGCAGTAATGCGTTTCGGTTGGTAGGGTGGGGCAGTCGTTGTAACTATGCTTGAGACCTTAGAACTTATATCTCAAGGTGGGTGGCGGCATTTACGTTGTAGATGTCTATGGGCTCCAGTATCCACTTTACAACAGGTGGGCTGTGATCTCGTCCACCCATCTAAGCAATAAAAAATAAAAAAAGACGATTCATTACCGTTACAGCTAGTAACAAAAACTGATTTTGAGATTTGATAACTTACCATGAATTAAAAACCAAACCTGTGTTTATTTCTTTGCATAATTGCTGGTTATAGGAGAATTGTAAGTTCGTACTGGAAGTCACCACCATCCTTACTCCATTTGACTGGGTTTTCCATTATATAGTACAAATGCAATTTTAACCCCATGTCACATGTCAGGTGATGATAATTATGTTGTGATCAAAAAAGCAATAATTAGGATATTTTAATTGAATTTCTATGTAATAACTGTTTTGCCAACAGTACTTAAGTATTTATTTATTAGTGGATGTTACTTTCTTTGGAAGCGTGAAGATTGCCATTAGAGCTACAAATAAATTGTAAATTTGAAAACGGCCAAAGCTTTATAAGTATTATAGAACACGTAGCTTAATCAAAAAAATTATATATTTTGGATAACTTAAAAATTAATGTTAATGGTAGAGTTTAAATATTTGTTTGGTTATATTATCTTAGCTGTCTGATATTATTAACAGTTTGGATTTGGATGATATTGAAACTTCAAACTCTCATGTCTCAAATTAGGCATCAATATTGACATCCTCGTTTTTATAACCGTGACACCGGTGTGGACGAGTCCAGACATCATAAATTACACATTAGAATAAGAGCCATCTTATATTTGTTCTATATGAAAAAGATTTCCTAATTTTTATCCGTGAAAGTTAATCAAAGGAGTCATAATTAGCTTGGAACTGCTTATATGGTACTGGATTTGTTGTATTAAATCAATGTTCTATCTAATAGTACTTATTCAATAATCTAGTAATGTTAAAAATGTTTTTTTTTTAATCATCCGAACCTGTTGTCGTATTTATAATAATTTTATAAATTAAAATAATGTAACTTTTTTAGTTGTATTATTGTGATCCTCTAACGATTAAAATTAAAAAATATATATATTATGTGTTCGATGGTGGTTCATTAGCTATTCAACAACCATTACGTATTAGGTTATTTATAATTTTAAATTTACAGCCATATTTCATCTCTTCCCACAGATTACCATAACAGGCAAAGAGACAATATATTTCTAAAACTTCACACAGAAGAGCCCAGTTAATATTGGCTTTATTATGAACTAGCGACCCGCCCTCGCTTCGCTTCGGAATCTATAATTTATTATTGATTTCTCCACTATTTAATGGATGTTATTATACATATAAACCTTCATCTTCAATCACTCTATCTATTAAAAAAAAAACCGCATCAAAATCCCTTGCGTAGTTTTAAAGATTTAAGCATACATAGGGACAAAGAAAGCAACTTTGTTTTATACTATGTAGTGATACATATGAGACAAAAACAGATACACCCAGAATTTATATATTCAAATATATTTAACAAAGATAAGGAATCGACCTGGATTTGGTTGTACAAAAGTCAAAGCTGAATTATTAACCATTAAGCTCTGGTGATAAAATATATATTATGGAACATAGACAATGTTGTTGAGTCTTCTAAAAGTCTTAGAGGTTTTCTGTGTTCATGATCCTCATTCAAATAAGCTTTAGTGCTCANACACCCAGAATTTATATATTCAAATATATTTAACAAAGATAAGGAATCGACCTGGATTTGGTTGTACAAAAGTCAAAGCTGAATTATTAACCATTAAGCTCTGGTGATAAAATATATATTATGGAACATAGACAATGTTGTTGAGTCTTCTAAAAGTCTTAGAGGTTTTCTGTGTTCATGATCCTCATTCAAATAAGCTTTAGTGCTCAATTAAGACAATTGTTACATAGTATGACTAAATAAAAATTACACTTATAATTATTCTAATGTCTTCTGTCTCTTCTCCTATCATCATGTCTTTCTCTTCTGTCCTTATCTCTATCTCTTTGACGTTCACGGTCTCTATCCTTCTCTCGTTCACGTTCCTTTTCTCTTTCACGCTCTTTGTCTCTTTCGCGTTCTTTCTCTCTTTCACGTTCCTTTTCCCTTTCACGTTCCTTCTCTCTTTCTCGTTCCTTCTCGCGTTCCCGCTCTTTTTCTCTCTCCCTATCACGTCTTCTATCTCTGCTCCTTGAACGTTCTCTTTTTCTGTCCTTATCGCGTCTGTCGCGGTCTCTTGATCTGAAATAAAAAAAAATTGTTTATTGTTTTATGTAATATGTTTCTATTGTGAATCAAGGAGGGTTTATTACAATATTTATGAAGCATATACTACAGTAATGGTTGCACAGTATTTATACTGCACTTTGTTTCTTATACTATCAACAATGTACACACTCTTTCCTGAAGTCATACAAGCCTGTTGAAAACACTGATTTTTGAGAATACTAATTAATGCCTTAGAAAGATTTCAAGCAGTCATTGATAATTGTAACGACTTTTATGATTATGTGGTACCTATCTCTCTTTCTATCCCTGTCCCGTCTATCTTTCTCTCGCTTGTTCTCTTTGGCTTCGGGGTCGATAACTTCATCGTCAGACGGCATTTCTTCATCCATATCATCATCCAGAGCCGAAATTTTAGGTTCGATTTCGTTATTCTGCTCCAAAATATGACGTTTCTGTATCCTCGGCATAATAATATCGCATAATCTCTCTTCGCGCAGTAATTCATCAATAAACTCGTCCATGTGAACTATCTCGTATTGCCCGTCGCGATTTTGCCGCCTCAACTTCCTATTATCGTTGTAAAGTGGCTCCAAATACTTGTAGCAGTCAACAGAGGTACCGGTGAGGCGCATGTAAAAAGCGCCAAGTGCACGTACGTATTTGAACTCTTCATTCTTTATGAACTCAACCACAATATCTTTTTCTGGCTGTATTTGAAGCATTTTTAATACTAAACACAAAAACGGTGTGGGGTAAATGAAACCGCCGTGCACGCCGCCTACATAACGCAATTCCATCGCTTTGTCTACTACCAGCTCTGCAGTTAAAGCGAAACATTCTTCCTTCCAATACTTCGAGTCGTAAATACGAGATCTGATAATTTTTTCTATTAAATACTGAGGATTTGTACCCCGAATTGATTTCGCGTCCTTTACGGTGCGATTCGCCATTTTTGTTGTGGTTCTTTGACATTTTTGACATTGACTCTTTTTGTTCTCTTATTCAACTGTANTGTCTACTACCAGCTCTGCAGTTAAAGCGAAACATTCTTCCTTCCAATACTTCGAGTCGTAAATACGAGATCTGATAATTTTTTCTATTAAATACTGAGGATTTGTACCCCGAATTGATTTCGCGTCCTTTACGGTGCGATTCGCCATTTTTGTTGTGGTTCTTTGACATTTTTGACATTGACTCTTTTTGTTCTCTTAACCAACTGTATACGCAAAGGGGTTTTGGCATATTACATAAAAAGTATGGCCCACATAGAAATGTATTCAACAGCAGGAAACGGTTTGGCTATTTTGAGAGCATTGCTAGCGTTCATTAGCATCAATAACAACTTTCTAGAAAATGCTGGCTTTTTGAAAGCAACAAATCATTTTATGTTTAATTTATTCGAGATTTTTTCTTTGGTGCTAATGGTATGCTATGGAAGGTAGGCTCCATAAATGGTACGAAAAATAAAGTAAATGGAGGTTTCATTCATAGACATCAGATTTATAGCCCATGAAAGGTTAATACCTTCGAATCTCAGATTTTTAATTGTATTATTTCTTGGTTCGTAAACGTGGGTAGGCCTTCCACAAGATGGACCGACGACCTATTGAGGTTCGCGGAGATCAGCTCGATGCAAGTAGCGTAGGACCGATCTTTGTGGCGACGCTTGAGGTAGGCCTATGTCCAGCAGTGGACGTCTGTGGGCTGATAGAATAGAAAAAAGGTTTTTTTTTATTGCTTAGATGAGTGGACGAACTCACAGCCCACCTGATGTGAAGTGGTTACTGGAGCCCATAGACATCTATGACGTAAATGCGTCACCCACCTTGAGATATAAGTTCTAAGGTCTCAAGTATAGTTACAATGGCTGCCCCATCCTTTAAGCCGAAACGCATTACTGCTTCACGGCAGAAAGAGGTAGGGTAGTGGTACCTACCCGCGCGGACTCACAAGAGGTTCTACCACCAGTAATTATGCAAATTTTTTTTGCGGGTTTGATTTTTATTACACGATGTTATTCCTTCACCATGAAAGTCAATCGTGAAGATTTGTTGAGTAGGTACGTATTTCATTAGGAAAATTGGTACCCGCCTGGGATTCGAACACCGTTGCATCGCTAGATACGAATGCACTGGGTGTCTATCCTTTAGGTCACGACGACTATTGGATTAGGCTTTTTTTTTTTTTTTTATTGCCCTTGTAGGCAGACGAGCATACGGCCCACCTGATGGTGAGTGGTTACCGTCGCCCATGGACTTCAGCAATGCCAGGGGCAGAGCCAAGCCGCTGCCAAAGGCAGGCAAGGCACTGAACCATTTCACAATTAAAACTAATTTTACAGTTTAATCTCATTTTCTTGTTGTTATTATATTATTTCCGACATTTTGAATACCTAGCTTACAGTGTTCGTCTGACGGACGGACAGTAGTCTGTATCCGGTAAAAATAGTTTTAATTATGTTTACAACTCTGAAAAATCAAATAAAATTGGTACTACATTGAAAAAGTAATTTATTATGTATGCGATGTATTTTTTTATGAAATACCTTTAAAACTAATTCTAGCCTAAGCGTTCATCGGATCCTCGATCCTGGTGATGCCAATATGAGCTTCCCACCAACTTGGAGTTCTACTCAAGTGCGTAGGACTTACCCTGTCCTTTAAACAAACACTTCATGGTAGAAATAGACTGATCCGTGGTACCTCCTCTGTTTAATAATACTACTATTCTTAATAGAATCGGGCTAATGTTAATCAAAGCTAGGCACATATTTGGCTATTGAATGAAGATTGAAGAGTGTTATGAAAATGAATCAGTTATCATTTTATATATTTCTTTATGTACAGTATTCAAAAGGGCTCAAAGATTGAAATTTGCAAATTTTAGGACGGCGCATCTTTTAAGAATAAGCCCTGTGAAAAATTACTAACAATTCCATAAAATATGGTACGCTTCCTTTCAAAAACCTTTCTCTCATTTCAAATTAAACTTTTTTAACCCAAATGGCTACTGGGTACCAACCACTTGAAAGCCTTATTTATTAAAAAGCACGGTACTGAGCACTGTACTCAAGTTGATTGAATAGAATAAAATAGTAAGAAAAAAGATCTTCTGTGAAGAACCTCCTCCGTGCGTCGTATTCCTCAGTTCTGAGGGTCGTGACATTTACTGAGCACTTTTGTCAGGACTTTGTTCTTCCATTCACTTCTGTCCTCCGCGCAGTGGATAGCGACATTGATGCTGGATTCCAAAGTCGTCTTAATCTGATCGGACCAGCGCATGGGACTACGCCCCCTAGGCCTCTTTCCTTCCACTTTGCCGGTGATGAGAAGTCTTTCGAGATTGTCACCCTTTTTTCTCGCAACGTGACCGAAAAACTCTAAGATCCTACGTAGGCAAATGGTGGAGAGTCTTAAGGAGACGCCTAGTTCTGTGAAGAACAAAGCACAGATTTTTCAAAATAAATGCACGAGTAATTCTTAAAGTAGAGTAAAATTATTCTCATTATTTTCCATACACCAGTCCTTGACTCAAAACTAAATCAGTGAGTATTTTGTAATATTTTCACATTTAAGTAGAAAGTGGAAGTCCTTACTTTATAACTCATGGCTGGACTAGGTATATACCTATATGAAATAATAAACAAAGCGATTATATCGCCAGAAAGACCAGTCATAACGATTGCCGTTGATTATCGAATATGACACAGGGCATTTTCTAGTCTTATAAATAATTATTTGAAAATATTTTAATTCTTATTAATTTTTACTTGTTTTTTTATATTTTACTATATTATATCGATATTTTATTGGCTCACTGAATTTGGCCCCTTTTTTTTTAGATTTTCGGTTTTTTTTAATTATTTGTTCGTCGTTAATGTTCGAATGTAAAAAAAATTTGTTCGTCTTTTATTTATTAATAATTAATTAAATAAATTATCACCTTTAAGTAGGACCCCCTTACTAGATATCTATAAGTTTAACGTTCAGGTTAATTAATTTTGATCAATTATCGTTTGTTCGACGACTATTGGTGATTGTTCGATCATAAAAACAATTAAATTCCCAATTATTAATTATTTTATATCTAATAAGCAAACCATCACCTCACGCCTACATTGCGCATGCACCGGTTTTGTCAGTCAGCTTTGTAAGTAGGAGGATGGAAAAAATGTATTTGGTCTAACTTAACGCCAATGCACATTATTTCATTTATTTATTTTTTAATTTTTTTAATTAAACTGTGTACCAATTAATTGCTCCTTCAGGATTTATATTTTTTTTTTTCACGATTATAACCGCGTAGAAAGTTTAGGCATTATAGTTGACGCATGCGCAGTACACATATTTTGCATACATTTATTCAACTAATAAAAATAGTAAATTAAACAAAAAAACGAGTAATTTCAAAAGAGAACAAACGTGTTTTATATAAGAACAATCGAAAATGAATATTTACGAGTCATTAAGGATGAAAAAATATAAAAAATTGCATTAGAGGGGCTAACTTGTAGGTATATTTTTAAATATTTTTTTTAAATAAATAAATGCAGAACAAACAATTATTAACAGTGAACAATCATGAACAAATGATGAACAAACGAATTAATAGAAAATAAGTATAAAATAGGAAAAAAAAATTTTTTTGAGGGGCTAACCTCATTCACCTCGAATATTACTTTGCCATTAGACCAATGTGAATTAGAGAATTTTATTTGTAGTTTATCTCACAGATATTACAACTAACATTTAAGAGTTTATTAGACACAAATAGACGTATATAAAGACACTTCACCAATAGACGACCATAGTTGAGTTTTGTAAAATAATAAAAAAAAAATTTTGACCGTAGGCCTAGTAAACAGTAAACCTAATAAAGAGTTTTTTTTAAATCTAGTACATACGTCAAATCCGTTTTTTTCATTAATGTAATACAATGATAAACATAATATAGTTTAGTTGAAAATGTAAAAAGCGTCATTATGAAAATATTTATTTAGTCTGTGTATTTCACAGTTGCCTGCGACCATGGAGTTAATAAGTACCTACAACTGGAGTGCTGTCTAATGCCGAGAAATCGGTCTCGAAAGAGAATACTTTTTGGTCGCGGTGTCCTTGTCTAATATGGTGACCATATAAAATTTATTTATAGGACAAAATTATACACATGCATTAGTTTTGAATTTACCTTAAGTAATTCTGTGTAGCCCTATGTAAATACAAAACACGTGCTTACAACAGTTTATTTATGTAAATTCAATTCTAAACATTGCTTCGTCGTCATGGTGACTTTTTTCGACGGTTTTTTTTAGAAATTGCTGCGTTGTCTAAAATCTATCACTGAATTTTATTACAAACATCATTACCTCAGTTCTATTACTTAAACTTCCTCAAACTCATGTTTAACGTCCGAATATTCAACCGCGACTTAAATATTATGTTGAACTTAATTACGCAATTCCTACTTTAATGTACTAGCTAAGTGGGCCGTGCAAATTAATATTTGACACACTGAGTGAGACACTGCAACGCACATGGTCTGCGCGTATCGGGTGCTCTTTTCCTACATTCACATCTTCAATTGATTTAAAATTGCTTGTATTTTTACTTCTCTGCTATTTTCATGACACGTGTATATTAAGTCTACTAGTTACATTTTAGGAAATAAAACACAATGGGTAATAAAATGAAATGAACTGAAATTCATTTATTTGTTATATGTAGACAATTAAATAACTCTTAAATGACAAGTCAATACACATAACACAATACACATAGTACTTGATCTCTATTTACAAAATATTGGTTATATTATTATTATTAAGTTCAGTTAATTTT